GGGCCACAGTCTTGGAGGTTTCACCATTCTCTGTCAGACCAGTAAGGCTAGTCATTACTTGTGATTTTGACTTTTGTTCCACATTTTTCTCCCACTCTATCCAGGATCTCCAATTTTGGTCTGTTTCAGAATGGTTGGCAGTGGTAGCCAGCACCATCCAGTTTCTGGTCTCAGGGTCGTGTAGGCTGAGATCTTGGCTGTCATCTTCAAGAAAGCAGATCACCAGGCCTCTCTCCTGTGACACAGCCGTGTAGGTTCAAACCACAATATTTAGACTGGTGTCCAGGGCAAATCATTTGGGACACCAAGGGACCTTTCTTCAAATACATATTGTCAAATAGTTTAGCTCGTTCATGGTAAGCCCTCTGTTACCCTATTCAGTGATGGAGAATTCAGAAGAGAATCGTAATCCTTCCAGTCACCCTCAGGAGTTTTAAACATCATAGGCTAGGGGCACGAGGTTTATTACAACCACTGTGAGCATTATTTTTATGTAGTCTTAGTGCTGAATAAATTACTCAAGCATCACAAAGATAATTAAAAAAAGGAAAAACACCCAGTAGTGCCAATTAATATGTGTCTGCCTGTGTCTACTCCTGTCACACAATGTGTTTGTCAGTAATTATTAGAGGACAGAGGTACAAAAGACAGAGGAGAGCAATTAGTCCAGTCTTTTATGCAAAACAGTTCTGCCTAGAGCATTCCCCCCTCCCCTCAATAATTTCCAGAGAGCAAAAAAGAACTTCACAGTGCACACCGTGGAGTGGCAGGTCGCCGAGCGGCAGGCTGGGAGGTTTATCACTAAGCAAAGATAACACGTGTTACAAACCACACATAGCAACTACAGCTTAGCTTTTTTGTGTCTCGGTTGTCAACAGCTTTGACTATTTTCACAGCTGCTGATGACAGCAATTTGCATGCAAGTGAAGAAGGGGAAACGTGAAGAAAGTCTCTAGAGTACTTCAGCACCGGTCTGGGCAAAGGGATGCCTGGCTCCCCCTTCTCCTGGGCCTCCTACCAGCAGTGGCCCAGCCTGCCTAGTGCCTCAGGAGAGATCACAGAAGACAGCAGACCTGGGGCTATATCCAGCGCCAAACAAAGGACTCAATAAAGCACAATAAAGCATCTTCAAAAGCTGCTCCTCCAGGGTCCTGGGGGAAGGTAGGCTTTTCTTTTGTGGGAAAAATACCTGCATTGTTTCCACACAGGGGTGTTCCATGCCTCCTGGGCCTGGTCCATTAGGTGGCAGATTTCCTTCAACAGGCAAGTGCAAAAGGCCAGACTCCTGCAGGGCCTCCAGGTTAAACATCACACCTCTGATGGGAAGCTATACAGAACGTATGTCTCTCAACAGAAATCATCTGTCCTCACCTCCTAGCTCAACAGAAGACATTGCCTCTCCCACCCCCACCCCACTCCCACCTTGTTCTCTCATCATCTAGTGCCCAGGCCGCACTATGGAGTTTGTCAATTGGTACTATGGAGTCAATTCCGACTCCTGGCAACCCTGTGCGTCAGAGCAGAACTAGGCTCCACAGGGCTTTCAATGGCTGATTTTTCGGAAGTAGGTCTCCAGGCCCTCTTCCAAGGGGCCTCTGGGTGGATTCAAACCTCCAGCCTTTTGGTTAGCAGCCCAGGACATTAACATCAGCCCCAGCCAGGGTCTCTTACAATCTAGGTCAGCTATCTATTCCAAAACCCACCGGAAACTTGATGCCTCCACCCCTCCCTAATTTTGGATCCTCAACTTAAGGAAGGACTGTCTTTGCTCTTAGTGATTGTCGCCATCACCACATTGGTAACTGGCTCCTTGTTGGATGGAAGCACCAGTCACAGTGCTTAGAGAAGCATTGGGCATGTAGCAGGTAGGTAGTAAACCTTTGAATGAGCTCTGGGAATATACTTGTTTGAGGCATAATACACATACAGAAAACTACTGCTTCTGCAATGCACAAATGGCCGGATCTTTACCCACAAGCAGGCAGGTGTAAACATATGAAAGGACCACTCATCTCAGCACACACAGCGCTTCTTCAGACAATCCCTAGAGCCAAAGGGCATGGTTGCTCTGGGAACAAGCCCCATCCAACCTGGGAAAGCTGGCTGGTTTTCAGTCACCGACTCAGCAGAAGCTCTGCTTCACCGCATGCAGAACTCTCCAGGGATGGGTGTGTGCAGGGGGAGTGGGGGAGGAGCATATTCTCCTAGAAGCAAGCAAGATCTGGGGGATGGAAGAATAGAAAAATGTAAAAAAACAAACAATGAAAAGTGAACATAAACATTTACCTTTCACCTACCACAAACGGTCACCCAGAAGCCCCAGGGCCAAAGCGGCCCAGCCTTGTGAGGTCCCCAAGTCTGTCATCTACTCACTGCCTAAGGAACGGCAGCCTGGGCTTGCCAAACCCTATTTCTAACTTCCACTCTGTCTACCTCTGCTACACAGTAACTATGAAAGTTATAACTGGGTTTCCCCAGAGTTAGCACTTCCAAGACAGCTTTCAGTATTGTTACTACTACCGCAGTGACAGATAAAAAACCAAACTCACCGCTATGGAGTCAATTCGACCTATAGTGACCCCTCCTTGGGTTTCTGAGGCAATATCTCTATAGATCTGTCCTGGGGGAAGTGCAGCCGAAATGCTCCTTGGAAGCGAGAATGGCCAGACTTCGTCTCACCTACTTTGGTCATGTTGTCAGAGGGGACTATTCTCTGGAGAAGGATGTCATGCTTGGTAATGTGGAGGGTCGACGAAAGAGGGGAATGCCTTCAACGAGATGGATTGACACGGTGGCTTCCATGATGGGCTCAAGTATAACAAGGATCATGGAGCTGGCGTGGGATAGGCTGGTGTTTCATTCTGCTATGCATGGGGTTGCTATGAGTCGGAAACAACTCAACGTCACCTAACAACAATAACAACATCTCTGTGGAAGTAGATCACCCAACTTTCCTTCCAAGGAGTGGCTGGTGGGTTTGAACCACCAACCTTCTGGTTAGCAGTCACATGCCTTAGGTGTTGCGCCACCATGGCTCCTGCAGTGACAGATGGGCAGTGTATTGTATAAAGGCTCATGGATGATGAGGACCATGAGCATGCGCCTACAGCAGAAATCAGGCTAACCTCTCCATTTTGGAGTGTTTGTTCCTTAAAACTGGGAAAGGGTGTGTCTCTTGGGGGCGCTGGGCAAGACACTATGTACTTTTACAAATGAGATGGAGAGAAAATCGCCAAACCAAAAGACAGAGCAACAGATATGAGAGGTGGCAGGGAGTCCCGTCTCCCTGAGGTCCTTGCTTTGCAACTTCCCACTCACCTGTGCCTTTGAGCCAGATCACTTTTCCCACAGGAAACCGAGAGTTGGAGACAGGAAGCAACTTCCTCTAGTGCCTGTCCTCACTTGCAAAGGAGAGGGTCAGGCTGTTCTTAATTGACCCCAAATGTTTCTTTCCTGTTTCTCAATCCAAGATTTACATCCTCATGGTATTCCCAGGGTGCCAAAGACCTCAGTGCCTATGGTTTGCACGGGCTGTACCCTGGGAGGGCACTGGGCTGGGGGAAGGGCAGGGGCTGGACGGGGCAGAAACCTGCTGTCACAGACTTCAGGGTTGTGCGTGGTGGCCCGCCCTGCCTTGAGACAACAGAGCGGTCCCATTTATTTTGTTCCTAGCCCTGACTTCTTTTTAGATAAGTAATGGGCAGCAAAATCTTCCCCAGACCCGCTCCCAGGGGCCTATCTACTGAAAATAGCACCTATGGCAAGCACTGAAATTATTCCCCTTTCCAAACATCTGACACCCATCTTGTAAATAACTTTCCCATAACATCAGCTCAAAAACGTCTCAAAAACACAAGTCAAGCTGGTTCATCTTTTACTTGGTACATCCCGGCACTATGTGAAAATTACAACTGCACCTTCCAGGCTTTCACTGACGAAAAATCGTCTATGATGGGGTCATTTTTTTTTTTCAGTTTCTTCTCTTTCTACCATCAGAAGAGCAAGATCACAGTCTGCCTTTACCTGTAAGCCAAAACCAAACCCACTGCCATGGAGTCAATTCCAACTCATAGCCACTCCCATTGGATTTAGTAGTAGTAGTAGTAGTTACGTGTCCCCAAGTCGGCCCGACTTATAGCGACCCCTCCTTGGGTTTCGGAGGTGATATCACTACAGAAGTAGATTGCCCAACCTTCCTTCCGAGGAGTGGCTGGTGGGTTTGAACCGCCAGCCGTCTGGTTAGCAGGCAAGTAAGTGCCTTAGGCTCTATGCTACCAGAGCTCCTTCCCATTGGCTTTATAGGAGGTGATATCACTACAGAGGTAGATTGCCCAACCTTCCTTCCGAGGAGTGGCTGGTGGGTTTGAACCGCCAGCCGTCTGGTTAGCAGGCAAGTAAGTGCCTTAGGCTCTATGCTACCAGAGCTCCTTCCCATTGGCTTTATAAGGCGGTAAATCTTTACTGAAGTAGATTGCCTCCTCTGCTTTCCCCAGAGCGGCTGGTGGGTTTGAACCGCCAACTTTTGGTTAGTAGTCAAATGCCTTAGGCACTACGCCACCAGAGCTCCTTGCCTTTGCCTGTGGTGGCTCTCACATGAAATTTATAGTTTTAACTGTATAATCTCTCACAGCTGGCGATGGAAACTGAGATGGTTAAACTGCTCAGTGGCGCCCCCCTTCAAGTGATGCCCAGGGCACGCGCCATACCTGCCATACTTAAGACACGCCTTTGCCGCTGGCCCAGTAGGAAAGACTAGGGGTAGGTGGTGACCCTTTCTCGTGGGGCCGGGGACAGCCGGCAGCGACACACCCACCGCGCAGGGAGGCTGCCCCACCCCGCGCCACTTGGCCGCACCCACTTCCCCGGGCGGCGACCCCTCCCCCTCCCCCGCGCTGACGTCACAAGGCACCCAGCCGCCAGCGCCCCGCGCTGCGCGCCCGGCGCCGGGTCCCGCCGACATCCAGGCGCGTCCCCGTCCCTGCCTGGCTCAGCCGCGGAAGATGGCGAGTCCCGCGCCCGCGGAGCCTGCGGAGGAGGGATGCCCGGTCCTGGCTTCCCGCGAGGAGGCGCAGGAGGAGGAGGAACCCGGGGAGCAGCGGGCGGCAGCCAGCGCAGAGAGGCAGGTGGAGGAGGCCGCGGGCCGGGTGGGCGCCGCCGCGACCTGGCTGCTCGCGGAGCCGGTGCTGTGGCTGGGCTGCCGCGCCGACGAGCTGCTGAGCTGGGAGAGGCCGCTGCGCAGTCTGCTCGCTTTCGTCGGCGCCAACCTGCTGTTCTGGTGAGAAGCCGAGTGGGTGGGGGCGCCTGGGAGGGCAGGTGACCTTGCGGCGCAAGGGGGCGACGGGGCGGGCGGAGGGCGCGCCTAGGGACCGCGGTGGGGGCGCTCTCTCCACTGCAGAGGAAGGAGTGTCAGTCTGGCCCAGCTTTCTGGGCCATTGGTCTCACACAGACACATACTTCACCTTTCCTCAGATGGGCTTCTCTGTAAACAGCGTCAACTACTATGGGTATATCCAGTCTGGGACCCTAGGAAGTTGGCTGACCTGCACGCACCTGTCCCTACAGGTGGGCCCAGCGTGCTGGAAAACTTCGGCTTTGCTTTCTAAAATTCTCAGGTCTTGACCTGCTTGCCCAAGCATGCCCTAGCTAACGTGCTTGCACGTGTAGTCGTTCCGGCACCCCCAGCAGGCGTATTTGGACCATCCTAGGTACACGTTCGAGGCTGTGCAACCTTGATAAGCCACCTGAGATGGGCATCGAATGGCTTGTTTTTCCTTGCCCTGGAGGCTTGGGTTTACCATCTTTACTCCCTGATGAGAAAACTGGGCAGATGGTGGCTTATGCACAGCCCCTCTTCCTCCAGGTATGCACAGTGGAAAACACATATTTCTAGGTCATCTTCAGAGAGAAGACACGGGACCGTTGTCTGCAAAGCCCCGGATCAACAGGCTTTGCTCTCCAAAAAGCGTTCGTCACCCGGGCAGGCGGACAGACGTTGGGGAAGTGGTTGATCTCTTTATTGAAGCCCTCTCAGCCTGAACAAAGACAAGGAAAAGCTTCTTTGTGTGCTAATGTGTTCTAGTGACAAACATGATCTCCTGTGTGCAGAATAAGCTGAGTTTCAGTAATAGATACCTTGTCACAAGACCTGGACTTCTTAAAGTTAGGGAATATGGAAATGCACACAGGACGCCACATTCCAGGTTATGGTGAGAAGAGATTCTGCCCTCGAGCTGTAATTTATCAGGGTCCTGAATGTGAATTAACTTCATACTTTGGGTCTCCTAGCTTTCTGTAGTGGCTAAGCCAGAGTTTATTTCCACAGTCGCTGTCTCTGCTGTGAAGTTCCATGGACCATGCGAATAGGGAGACTGTTGCTGTTGCTGTTATGTGCCGTCGAGTCAAACCCGACTCATAGCGACCCCTCCTTGGGTTTCCGAGGCAGTTATCACTACGGAAGTAGGATTGCCCAACCTTCCTTCCG